TATTTTAGCAAGAAGCTTGGGGTCAGACTGTCCAAGGCCTCCACCTATGTTAGAGAGCTTTATGCCATCACAGAGGTAGTGAAGAAATGGAGACACTACTTGCTTGGAGCCCATTTTATTGTACGTACAGATCACCAAAGCATCAGAGAATTGCTCTCCCAAACCATACAGACACCAGAACAACACAGTTATGTCCATAAGCTCCTTGGCTATTCATTTACCATTGAATATAAACCAGGATCTGCAAATATAGTAGCTGATGCACTGTCAAGGAGGTTTGATAACACTGAGGCTGGTTCATTGTTGCCTTTATTCTCTGAACCACATTTTGGAATCCTTGACCCCATTAAATCTGAAAATATTTTGGATCCTGAGCTAGCAAATTTGCACCAACAATTAGCTACTGGTGCTGTGCTTGATCCTTTATTCACAGCTAAAGATGGCATTTTATACCATAAGGGCTATTTTTTTTGGGATCCAATTCCAAATTGAAGACAGATTTGATTGAGGAAGCTCATTCGACTCCTTTGGGTGGGCATGCTGGTTCTCTCCGAACATTCCTTCGATTGTCTGCTTCTTTTCATTTGTTACATATGAGAAGAGATGTCACTAAATTTGTTCAACAATGCATTATTTGCCAACAAATTAAAACCACTACAGCAGCACCCTTGGGGCTACTTCAGCCTTTACTCATGCCCGAAGCCATTTTTGAAGATCTCTCATTGGATTTCGTTACTGGCTTACCTCAATTTAATGGTTTTTCTGTGGTATTAGTGGTGGTGGACCGTTTATCAAAATATGCTCATTTCATTGGATTGAGTCATTGCTACACAGCTGCCACAGTAGCTAAAATATTTTGTGAGCACATAGTGAAACTTCATGGATTTCCTCGTTCTTTGGTTTCTGATAGAGACCCAATCTTCATGAGCAAGTTTTGGCAAAAGTTATTTTCCTTGAGTGGTACTAAGCTTAAAACCAGCTGCAGCTATCATCCACAAACGGAGGTGACCAACCATTACTTTGAACAATACTTAAGAGCTTTTTGTGCTTAGCAACATCAGAAATTGTCTTCATTCTTATGCTGGGCTGAACTCCATTACAATTCATCAGTTCACTCTTCCATTGGTATGTCTCCATTTGAAGCTGTATATGGGAGGGTCCTTCCTTCAATACCTCACTACCCTCGTGGATTAGTTCCAATTGAAGCCTTAGACATACTCCTCTTTCAAAGGAATGACATTCTATCCATTCTTAAAGCAAATTTGTTGAGGACTCAGAATAGGATGAAGAATCAAGCAGACAGGCATCGTAGGGACTTAATCCTTGCAGAAGGTGATTTGGTGTTAGTTAGATTACAGCCTTACCGCCAACTCTCAGTTGCTAACTGCTCTCACCAGAAGCTTGCTAAGAGATTCTATGGTCCTTTCACCATCAAGAAAGTCATCAGTCCTGTTGCATACCAGTTAGACTTACCTGCCACTTCTAAGATTCATCCTACATTTCATATTTCTTGTTTGAAGCCATTTTGGGGAACACCAGGAGTACACTTCTCTCCTCTGCCACCTCACACGTTTGACAATAAACCAGTTCAGAAACCTCTTGCAATATTGGCATCTCGTTCTTCTTTAATTCGTGGCATGCCTCAGATGCAATACTTAGTTCAATGGACTGACACTGTTCCTGAAGATGCAACCTGGGAATCAGGTACTATTTACAAGCTGCATACCCAGCATTAGACCTTGAGGACAAGGTCTCTCTCAGGGAGGGAGTAGTTGTTACGGGCCCAACTGAAGAAGATTCGAATGGCCCAAGCTCGAATACCATCTCTGCCATACGGCCCAGTAGAAGGAAGGACACACCAGCCTGGATGAAGGATTATACCTGTTAAGGAAGATCAGAACAAGAAGAATCTGGAAGGAGTTAACTAGTTAAGCGGTTGACCAATAATATAGTGACAGATAGGATAGACGGTTAGTTGTAGAAATGATACGTGTAATATGGAAATGATACGTGTAAACAGTTGGGTATAAGTAGTTATTCATGTATCTGAGAACAACATCTGATAAATAAAAACTTGAGTTTCCTTTTCGATTCTACTTTTCTATCCCTTATTCCCTTTCCTCTTCGATACGGTTGTATCATTAACCCTAAGGAAACAAGAAAATGGAACGAAGGAGAAAAGAATGTTGTTATTCAAATGATCTTCAATGGCTACATAAAGGGTTTTTATATACACCCATTACCAACAAACTAGTCTAACAACCCATCCGACGAACTAACAACCTAATAGTACAATAACCTAACATTACACTATTCACATGCACTAACAATACACCAATCCCAGTCAGCTCACACTCACTTCATGCTACAAAATCAACTAAACGAGTTGAGTTCCTTCTAATCCTCACAAACTTCCTTAACGTAATATAAGTATTGGATATGTTCTCATTTGTAATCGTTTTCTTTGTGTTTATCATATTTGGAGATTGGATTTAAAGTTTACTTCTTCATAGAGGCAGTGCCCATGATCATTTAATGATACCTGGCCTGGTTAAGATATTGTTTTTGAGTCTTCTTTGATGGTGGTTGAAGATTATTTAAGGAGGCTTCTCTACTTACTTTAATAGACAAGAGGTGAAGTTGCACCTACAAGGATCCTCATGCTTAAGTCAATAGAAGAATAAGCCGGAATATACAAATGAGAAAAACATGTGAGAGGAAAAATTCGGTGCTTAATCATTTAAGATTTAGAGTTTTGTTACTATCCAATTGCAAGGTACGAGACTTGGGTCCCACATCGAAAACATACGGGTTTGGTGTGAATTTTATATGGACTTTAGACTCTCTTACCTTACAAACTAGCTTTTGAGGTGAAACTCTTCCAAAATTCATATTAAGTTGGTTGGTTGGTAGGTAATTGATGGGTTCATTACACATGTAAACTTCAATTTAATTCAGAGTTTCCAAGCAAGGAAATTCAAGCGTCATATGGCTGAATTGGTAAAACTTAGTCTCAAGTTAAATGTGATTGTTTTCTTCTAGTGAGTAGGAGAAAAACTCGTGTACATTCTAAATAAAGATGCATGTAACTTCAATATATTGGAAGGCGTAAATTCATTACATTATACATGCTTTTCGCTTAATTAAGTTAAGTAAAGATGAAAAAGTAAAAGGAGTTTTTTATTCGTTAACTTTCTATACATATATTATAGTTAAATGAATCAAACTTATAGTCAATTTTGCTGAAAAGGCCTTCGGTTGTGTTTCTAATGAATAGTACACATCATGTTTCACCAAATGGTATTATAAATATAGTTCACATCTAACAATATAAAATAAAAAATATCCAAAAAAAAAACAATATAAAATAAATGAAAACATTTATATGAAAAGATAAAAAAAAAATCTTTTATATAAGTAATAGTTGGTTGACTCAACTAATTAAATCTCACGTCCAAATTTCTGATTTTTACTGATTTAAAGTCGTCTATGTAACATTGAATTATGTTCTAAAATCAAACTATAACTGCCTTAGGAATCGGTTCATGGATGACTCCGGGGGCTAAGGGTCCAGTTCATGATCCCACAGTATTTTTATCATCTCATTGAATGTTTTCTTCATCCTTTTCTTTCCTTTGGCAAGGGATTGCGTAAGCCTCACAACAAAGTCCAAAGCGTTCAACCATTTATAGAAGCAACAATATATATCAGCGTATATTCTAAAATATCATCTCATCAAGTACATGAGAGCATAACATCCAAAGAATGGCACAAGTTACCACTCACAACCAATAATTCAGGAGCGCATATCGCGTACCCTAGGCACAGCATACTTACAGAAGAAAAATAATATGCTAAACATTTTATGAATTCCCACTCTATCTCTTATAGTTATTAATATATTTTTCATGTTTAATGCATCAGATTTAGCTCATTTTCTCTCCCATAAGTTAATAGAGATATAATATAAAAATTATTAATTTGTCTCAACCTAATAATTTAAATTTTTGGATTTAATTTGTTTTTATATAATATCAGAGTCTCTGTTATTATAAGTAATCACTACTTCGGTCTTCACCCTTACCACTTTTTAATAAAATTAAGATGCAAGTTAAAATTAACACAAGGTAACCTCGAAGGGTAGCTCAGTTGTCAACTGAGCTTCCAAGGGTTTGCTTGGGTCAGGGGTTCAAACCCTGTCTCAAGCAAATTTTTGAAAAATCTTTGGGGGCCAGAGGACGTGCCTCTCTTTGAAGAGGGGATTAGTCTCATCCTTCTTCCGGTAGCGAAGCTCAATGCACCCGCTGTTCCAATGAGGGATAGCCTTCGGGCCGTACTCCGAGGACAAGGTGACCGGAGGAAGTTGAATGGAGATATACTCTAGGTAAAAAAAATTAAAACTAACACAAGGTAAAAAAGATGTGCTTGGGCATCACTTACGGCTCAAGCCTAAAATCCGAAATTTGTTATATAATCATGGGTTGTATTACTCTCATGTTGCATGAGATAATATAACTTCCTATAGAACCATCCATTTTTGTGCTTCTCTTTTCTTTTTTTTCCTTTTTAATAAATAATGGGCACACTACTTGATTGTATCTACAACATGAGATAATATATCTCCTATTACATAAGAGTAATATAACCTTATAATCATTAATACGATACTTGGTATCTAACTAGTTTAAGATTATTAGAAGTTCAGCCACCAATTTTGCAGTTTAAGGCATCAGTTAATACCTTCATGTACACTTCTATAAGAAGAAATTATGTGAATCCTTTTGATGTTTCTGCATTCAATCAGCGAAACCCATGTTCATACTTTGAACTTGAGCTAGCTAGCAATAGATTAGACTTCAAGTTTGCAAAAGCCACCTTCACAATAAACAAGCAACATAGTTGATGATACATCTATAAATAGCAGGGGCAACATTGTGTTGCTGCATAAATTGGCTCTAACACAATTTGTTTCTAATATTTCGTTGATATAGTGTTCAATTATGGAGATCACCAAAGGAAGTTCTATCCTAATCATGCTCATAGTCTTTGTCTCAAGTTTGATTCAGTCCAATGCATATTATTACCGTTATTGTAGCACCAAAGGAACTCGATGCTATGGAAAGTACATCGTATGTCCTGCCGAGTGCCCAAGCAGTGAATCTACAAATCCTAAGGCTAAGGTTTGTTACATCGACTGTGACAAACCTATATGCAAAGCTGTCTGCAGACGTAAGATAAACCATCCTTTCATTGTTCCGCTCTTTTCCCTCTCCATTCTCTTGTTTGTGATCGTGTCATTTTTCTAACAACAAAAAATAACATTCACATATCATTTTTTCTTATACTATAATCCTGTGCAGTCACGTTTGATGCATATTAAGTAACACTACAATACAGAACATTACTGCATAAGTGGTTGAGTCATATGACAATTTTTGGTTTGGTAGTTGTTTGATAATTAATGTATTAAAAAAAGAAAAAAGAAAAAGAAATTTAGTGATATTCATAGTCAGAGTAAAGCAAAATTTATCATAATACCCTTTATGTCATGTATTGTTTTGCACTATAAAACTGGTGTAATGAATGAGTAAGTTATAGGGATTATTGGTCTTTTTTCTCTTTTTGTGACGTGGATAATGTATTGTAACTTAGTTTAGTGGCTAACAAAAATTTAGAGATTTATATGGTCCCTTAGAAGTTATTTTTTGCCTAATACTATTTGAACATTCAAACAATGTACAATTTTTTTGTGTTGTGCTATTCTCAATTTCCTAGCTCCAGATATGACACAAATAGAGAGGAAGAGATTGGCTATATTTGATATATAATGTCCCAATACAAAATCAATTTTTATTCCTCCCATTTTTTTTTATACTATGCACATCTTTCTCCTCAAATTCTTAAGCTGCATGGTGTTATATATCAATTTAGATTGATACTATTAGAATGTATTTAATTTCAACCGTCTAATGCTTTTTTAGTATTAATTTATTTTTGTTATGGGGTGTGGAAACAAAACTTGATGAAATAATTCATTTTCTGATTTTAAGATCGCAAACCAAACTGCAATGCACCAGGATCAGGGTGTTATGATCCCCGGTTCATAGGTGGAGATGGCAGAGTCTTCTACTTCCATGGAAAGACCAATGAACATTTCAGTTTAGTCTCTGATTCAAGCCTTCAAATCAATGCTCGCTTCATTGGACACAGGCCAGCAAATAGAGCACGTGACTACACATGGATTCAAGCCCTTGGAGTACTCTTCAATTCCAAAACCTTCACACTTGAAGCCACCAAAACATCAAAATGGAATGACAATGTTGATCATTTAAAATTCACCTACAATGGGAATGATCTAGTTCTAGCTGAAGGCACTCTTTCCACTTGGTACTCTCCGGAGAAAGATGTTAAAGTGGAAAGAGTGGCTAGCAAGAACAGTGTGATAGTTACAGTAGAAGATGTTGCTGAAATTTTGGTCAATGTGGTGCCAGTAACCAAAGAGGATGATAGGATTCATAACTACCAAGTACCTAATGATGATTGCTTTGCACACTTGGAAGTTCAGTTCAGGTTCTTTGCTCTGTCCCCTAAAGTTGATGGTGTGCTTGGGAGGACCTATAGGCTTGATTTTGAGAACCCAGCAAAGCCTGGTGTGGCAATGCCTGTTGTTGGAGGAGAAGATAGATACTTCACTCCCTCTTTGCTTTCTCCAAATTGTGCTTCTTGTGTGTTCTCACAGAAAAGTTCATCTGAGGAAGAGACCACTGAAGTGACTCAGTTTGGTACCCTTGATTGCACCAAGTTTTCATCTGGGTTGGGAATCGTTTGCAGGAAATGAGAATATTGGGTTGGATAGGCTACTTGTCAAGGAATAATCTAAGGTTGTGGAGAAAATCTGAAACCTTGGCTTTTAAATAAAAAATAATGACTGAATAGTAGCTGCTTATTTGTTGTATTGTCTGTTGCTTAATGTTATGTAACTCTTACATTAATGTACTTACATTTTAATAAAAGTAAAATATAATTGAAGGGCGTTAGTCCATGTGACTTGGAGATCTTTCAACAAAATCTCGATATTATCAGTTATAAAGGTCAATGATAGAGTGATAGTAACAATAACATCACATTTATCCTATATTAATCAAGTCCAATTGAACTCATATATGTGTAGCTATGATGCACGAACACTGACACGAGACACGACACGCCGACGCATTAATTTTAAAAAATGACATTTTTCGACACGTTAGAACACGTTTTGATATTAAATAATATTTTTAATATATAAAATATTTATATTTAATACATATAACAGTTCATAATGAGTCATATAATCAATCAAATATTCAAATTTTATAACAAATATAAAAAAAAAAATTTGTACCTTGTTAATTTTTCATGTCAAATTTCATAACAGAAAAAAATTGATTTATTAATGATTTTTTTTTTATTTTTAGTTAATAAAAAAAAGGCTAAAAAAAAAACGTGTCCGAACGTTGACCACGTGTCGGAGAGTTGACCACCTGTCCTAAAATATTGACCATGTGTCGGAGCGTGTCTGTGTTGGACACGTGTCCGACACGCACATCTTGAAAAAATTCCCGTGTCCGGATATCAGAGATGTGTAGCATATAAAGAAAAAATAAATAATAAAAAAGAAAAATAATATATCAAATAAATAAATATATATATAATAAATAAAAACATAGAAGGATATTATAATTTTGTGAATTATTGATAATTTTGTTTCGCTGGAAACTTGAGAAGCATTATAATTATGCCCACACACACCACACACATGTATACATGTGTACCGTTTGGATCTATAAGCCCACTATGTTCTCTTTGGGGATGAGTCACTAAATGGATAATACCCTTAGCACAGGTAGAGACCAAGCTAAATGGCACTGTTCCAGGTACGAAGCAAGCAATCAACAATGGGATTAGGTGTGTGTATGTGTGACTCAATGTAAATGGGCAGAATAACGATACATAAGATATCTTCTTGATGTGCCCAGGGGGTTATTTATAGGGAAGGTGAAGTGAATCTTGCCTGGGTTGGTGAGAAGGGGGTCAACCCTCCTCGGTTACTGCTAAGGGTGGCAGTACTGGGCGTGGCAGGCGCTGTTGTGATAGCAGCGCTGCACCCCTTGTGCCTGGCGGTGTCAGCGTGGGACAAAGGGCAGTTTCCCCTTATGGCATCTGGGGCGATTACCTTTGGGGGTTGGAATCCCAAGATAGGACATTTTGGTTTTTCTCCTAGGAAGAGTCGTCGCGTTGGGAGTTGGGGGATCTTACCAGCTGGTAGGGCTGACGTGGATTGAGGGTTGAGATTGGGCCTGGACCTTTGGGCCGTTGTGTTGTTGGGCCATCCGGAACAGGAGCCCCCCAGTTTGGTAGCAAGCGTAGGTTGGTGCCAAGGTAAATGTGCTTTGGCGACGCCTTGTTAGCAATCTGAGTGGTTGGTATAGGCGTGGAAAGGGATCTCTTGATGACTTAGCGAGTATTTGGAGTTTGGCGGTTTCGAGTGGGGTTTCGTACTGTTTGTACCTTTGGACCTTTAGGCCGCTGTGTAGGTTGGTGCCACGGTAAATGGGCTTTGGCAATGCCTTGTTGGCGATCTGAGAGGTTGGCAAGGGTCTTTTTGGGAAAAGGCAGCCATTCTTACAGGCAAGGTGGCTTTTCGGTTTTCGAGGAGCAGTAATGATGGGTGCTTCCATCATTGAAATTAACTCCAGGCACTCAAGAGTCATGAAGCACGGCGCATTAATGTGACGTGAGGGGTGTCTTGTCCACCTGTAATTACCATCGGGCCCCTCATCACAACTGCCTATAACCTGACGGTTGTGCCATCCTACGGTTGAGAAAGGAGGGCACTACACGTGTATGTCATCCTGATTATTTTCTCCCTATTTAAAGAAGAGAAAGACCTCCTTGAGGACCTTCTTCACGAAACTCTGACTCCTTATTGTTCCTACCTTGTTTTCTCTTCGTGTGAGTGTGCTCTTGCCGGTCTTCGTTTCTTCCTTCTCTGCATTATCTCAGGTACAGTGTTTCTGGCTTGTTGCTTTGATATTTCTTTACATTTCTTTGGCTTTGCTTCCCTTCTCCTTTTTCTTGTGATGGTCAAGTTTACGGAACCCATCCCTGGTTTAATATTTCCTGTGTTGGAGGTGGAAGTTAAGGAGGAAGAGTTTGATGAAGCTTTCGATACACTAGATAGCAGTGCAGTGGGGCCGGCTATGCAGGAATACCTTACTAGTCGTGCCTCACACCGTTCTTTAATTCCTGGGGTCGAGTCGTTACCCCATGGTAGGATACCTGAGCTTCTGGGTTTTAGTGAAGAAGAGATTCAAAATCTCTTACCTGAGAGGGCATTAGGACCTGTGGTTCTATATTCTGGTGAGGCATCTCGTTCCCGTCTTTATTGTGGGCGTCAGGTGGCGACTGGCGAGAACGCTTCTAGATCTGGTAGGCGTCAGTCTGTAGGATCTAGAAGGCGACAATCTGGGGAATCTGGTGACAGGGCTAGGCCTCGCCCTTCACGAAGGAGTCATTCTAGCCTTCTGGTCGTTCTTGTGATCAGGGGACCGCTTCGCACCGCCGTGTTTCGCGGCACACCGATTTTGGAGCTGGGCGAATTATTCGGCCTCTATCCAATATAAACCGCCAACCGCAAAACCGTCCATTAGAATATTATTACAAGCCTCGCCAATCTTCGGTAGCCCTTTGTACATCTCATGGCCAAATTCTCAACATTTCCCAGTCCTTCCATCGCCGTAAGTATGACGAGTCCACTAACAATTGATTGGGTAGATACCACCCAGAAGATGGTCGACTTGTAAGGTATGGCGTGTGGGACGCTATTTATGAGGACCTGGGGCTTTATAAGATACCGCCTGCAAGGTGGCCTTCATCCTTAAGCTACTCAGATTTTTATACGTCGAGCTCTTCGGACACCTCTGATTCTTATGGTAAGTTTCTTGTGTGTGAGTTTTTTTTGATTGGTTTATTGGTAAGGGGATGTCGGTGGTCTGGGGAGGAGGAGTTGGGTGGTGTGGGGGTTCAGAGTTTGACTCTTTGCTGATCTTCTTAGCGCTGGAGGAAGTTTTTGGCGATTGACTGTGTGTTTGTCGCTCCCAGGTTTGATTTAAGGGTATTCTCTTGTCTTATGGCGGTTGTGCAAAATCACGAACGATTTTCGGCGAGGAGTTGGGTAGATCCGATGGTGACAACCTCTTCATCTTGCTATATTAGTGGGGCTAATCTGGACCAGGCTTACCAGACGGAGGGCAATTTCGACATAACTGAAAATGCCGAAAACGAGATGATGAGGCAAAGCACTGCGGTCAGGCGTACTACAACAGTTTGTGACAGGCCTCGCCTCGGGGCGATATCTCGATGGCAATTAATGGTGTACAAGACTCACTTTACGGATAAGAAAGTTAGGTTTACTTTATCTGAGTTCGAGATGGGGGTGTTAGCCCATCTTTGGGTCGCGCCTTCGCAACTGCACCCTAACGCTTGGGCGTTTGTTTGAGTTTTTGAAAAGATATGCCGATATTTTGAGTGGGTATGCTCTGTGCGGTTATTTTTTTATTGCTTCCAGGTGTCGTCTTCGTTGAAAAAGCTTGGATGGGTTTCGTTGAAGGCAGGGAACGGACTGGGACCGATATTTGCTCAGTATGCCAACTCATATAAGAACTGGAGGGGGGACTTTTTTCTGGATTGAACCAGTGCTTGGCGAGGGGGAATTGTCTTTTTTCATTGATCAGGCGAGTGGGGAGAGTCAGTTTTCGCTATACTGGACTAAGGCCCATTATGAGATGCCCGCCAGTTAGTATTCGTTTGGGTGGGGAGCCTTGTCTCCTGAAGAGGCATTGGTAGTGGATTGGATTGTGGAGGTAAAGGGGGGCCTTGACCGGTGGCCTTCGAAGAGGGTGTTGTGTTAGGGAAGTGTGGTGGTGTTTCGTACCATTTGTGACTATATGGAGAGTATTAACTGTCTTTACTAACACTTGTCTTTCTTGTCTTGCAGTTAAGAGCTTGTCGATGGAAACGTTGAGACATGCATGTCAGGCGGCTGTTAAGCTTAAGAAGGCTAAGGGTGTGGTTTCTCAGGTTAATCTGAACCCCACCGCGAAACTGAAAGATGTGGACAAAGGAAAGAAGAAAGAAGTCCACCATAAAAAAAGAAAATTCGGTCTGCTGCTGATGTTCCCGCCGATGAGTTGGAGAGAAGGGCGACCTGCCCTATAATTAAAGAGCCCATGAATGTGGTGGGAGGTTCGTCGACGAGTGAGTCGACTTTTGGATCAGTTTCGCCAGGTCGTGGAGGATCAGGTCTGAAGCGGGGGGGCGATGAAAGCTTAATCCCGTCAGGGGGTTCCAAGATGTCGCGCCTCGAATTGTCAGAGTCGAGGAAGTTCACTGATAGCGATTGCCACATCTCGGGTGGCTTTCCTGAGGACTCAGGCGATGGTGGGATAATGGTAACTAGCGCTCTTGGTGGCGGAGAGTCTCTAGTAACAGCTGGTGCGCAGGTTCCTCCTCCTCCTCCTGCTGAGATCCTAGTTGTAAGAACCTGCACCGTTAATTAAGGAAGTTATTTAATTAATTACGTGAAATTAGGAAATAATTCCATAATTGACCCTAATAATTATTATGAGGCTTAACTAAATATAGAAAGTGATTAATATGCTGAAAGTCGTTTTCGAACGAAAAGTGCAGATACCGGTTCTTCTACTCGATATAAATGCGTATCGAAAAAGTATCCCAGAAAATTATAATAAGTGCATGATAATTCCTAGAATATAGTATAGGACTAGTAAAACAAGT